GTGATGCAGGGGACATGGAGGTGCTGGGGACATGGTGGTTCTGGAACATGGTGATGCTGGGGATGTGGAGGTGCTGGGGACATGATGATTCTGGGGACATGGAGGTGCTGAGGATAGGGTAATGATGCAGATGTGAAGGTGCTGGGGACACAGTGGTTCTGGGACATGGTGATGTTGGGGATGTGGAGGTGCTGAGAATATGATTCTGGAGACATGGAGGTTCAGGGAACATGATGATTCTGGGGACATGGAGGAGCAGGGGACATGGAGGTACTGGGGGGCTGACATAGTGATTCTACGACATGGTGCTGCTGGAGGACATGGTCATTTTGGTGGCATGGTGATGCTAGGGATTAGGGTGACAATGAATCATAGCAATGCTGGGGACATGTGCTGTGCTGGGAACACAGTGATGATGGGAACATGGTGACTCTAAGGACATGTGATGCTGGGGACATGGTAATGCTGGGGACATGGAGGTCCTGGAAACATGATTCTGGGGACATGGAGGTGCTGGGGATATGGGGATGCAGGGCACAGGGAGGTGCTGGGAACATGATGCTGGGGACATGATGGTTCAGGGGACATGGAGGTGCTGGGAACATGATTCTGGGGACATGGAGGTGCTGGGAACATGATTCTGGGGACATGGAAGTGCTGGGGACATGATGTTTCAGGGGACATGGAGGTACTTAGGACATGATTCTGGGGACATGGAGGTGCTGGGAACACGATTCTGGGGACATGGAGGTGCTTAGGACATGATGATTCTGGGGACATGGAGGTACTGGGAACATGGGGTGCTTAGGACATGATGATTCTGGGGACATGGAGGTCCTGGAAACATGATGATTCTGGGGACATAGAGGTACTGGGGACATGATGATTCCGGGGACATGGAGCTGCTGGGGACATGATGTTTCAGGGGACATGGAGGTGCTTAGGACATGATTCTGGGGACATGGAGGTGCTGGGAACACGATTCTGGGGACATGGAGGTGCTTAGGACATGATGATTCTGGGGACATGGAGGTGCTGGGAACATGATGATTCTGGGGACATAGAAGTGTTGGGCACATGGAGGTGCTTGGGACATGATTCTGGGGACATGGAGGTGCTTGGGACATGATTCTGGGGACATGGAGATGCTGGCAACATGATTCTGGGGACATGGAGGTTCTGGGAACATGATTCTGGGACATGGAGGTGCTTAGGACATGATTCTGGGGACATGGAGGTGCTGGGGACATGATTTTAGGGACATACAGGTGCTGGGAACATGATTCTGGGGACATGGAGGTGCTTGGGACATGATTCTGGGGACATGGAGGTGCTTGGGACATGATTCTGGGGACATGGAGGTGCTAGGAACATGATTCTGGGACATGGAGGTGCTTAGGACATGATTCTGGGGACGTGGAGGTGCTGGGGACATGATGATTCTGGGGACATGGAGGTCCTGGGGACATGATGATTCTGGGGACATGGAGGTCCTGGAAACATGATGATTCTGGGGACATGGAGGTGCTGGGGACATGATTTTAGGGACATGGAGGTGCTGGGAACATGATTCTGGGGACATGGAGGTGCTGGGAACATGATGATTCTGGGGACATGGAGGTCCTGGAAACATCATGATTCTGGGGACATGGAGGTGCTGGGGACATGATTCTGGGGACATGGAGGTACTGGGGACATGGTTATGCTGGGGACA